ACCAGAGGAACTGGCGAGGTGCTGGGAAGGCCGGCTTGGGAAATGAGAAGGAATGAAGGGAGACTGGGCCCCAGGGAGCCCGCCAAGCTCATGCCACGGGAACTGCACCAGGGGACCTCACCCTGGGACATGGATGCTGCTGCTGACGCCACTGGATCCACGAACCAAGGTGGCAAACAAGCTCTCAGCTGCCCCTGTGTCCCTCAAGAGTCCAGGAGCTAGCCAGGTGATGTCATTCCAGCTGAGCTTTAACTCAGGGCCAGGAGGAGCTGTGCAGAGGGAGGTAGCACCCACCTGCTACCAAAACTTTCATCACTGACTGGTGGACAAGAGTGCAGCACAAATCCACAAAGAAGGGTGTTTGGGGCTAGTCCACCTGGGATCCCAACAGAGTACCTCATGTAAGGATGTTGGATGCCATCCCCAAACCCAAATCAAATTCATTGCCATCGGGTGCATGCCAACTCACAGCAACCTTATAGGGCAGGATGGACCTGCCCCTGTGGGTTTCTGAGACTGTAACTCTTTATGAGAGTAGAAAGCTTCATCTTTCTGCTACAGAAGAGGCTGGTGGTTTCAAACTGCAGACCTTGGGGATTGCAGCCCAATGAGTAGCCACTGTCACCGGGGCTCCCTGCTGTCTTCCCAAACCAAACACCAAACTCAGCATCATCCGGTCAAGTCAATACTGACTCACAGCCACCCTGTAGGATAGGGTAGAACTGCCCCTGTGAGTTTCCAAAGCCTGTAACTCTTTACAGGAGTGGAAAGCCCTGTCTTTCCCCCATGGAAAACTACTGATAGTTTCAAACTGCCAACCTTGGGAGAGCAGCCCGATGGGTAACCACTAATTCAGGATGAGGGACTGCAAGCCCAGGTCAGAGAGCTCCACCCCCTAAAATGAAAGCCTGGCTCGATGGTGAGGCACGTGCGCCTCCAGCAAGAAGGGCACCTGGGCGCCTTCCATGATGCAAAGACCCACCAGGGAAAAAAACACAAGCACTCACTGCCACCGAGTCGATTCTGACTCACTGTGGCCCCACAGGTTTCCAAATGTCCATCTTTACAAGAGCAGGCAGCCCCCTCATTTCCCCTGCCCCTAAGTGGGGCTGGTGGCTTTGAAGGCACCAGCCTTATGCTTAGCTTCCCACTCAATGCTTAAACCACAGGGGCACCATGGAGCTAAGGACGAGGGGGGTTTTTGTGGTGATGGACCAGAGTGGGCTACATGGACAAGAAGGGTGGCATGAGGATAGACAGACACGGTTTCCTCCACCAAACCACTCATCTGCTCTATTCTCCTTTTTCTGATGAATCAATATCTGGGTCTGGCCTGCCAACAGATATTGTTTTATGATATATCAAATGCATTAAGCTAAAGGGAGTGGATGGGCGGGCGGGGGGTGGGGGAGCAGCTTTAAAAAGTTAACTCAGCTCCTGAAAACAGAAAGTACATAGCTTTGAGACCGACACAGCCTGGCACTGGTGGAATTCTGGTGCCCAGAGTACAAGGAGACGCTGACAAAGGAGTTGAAAAGGTCTCACTTATTGAATGTTTACTGTGTGTCCTTCACGCAGACCCACGCAGACTCCAATGACAAGGACCAGGAAAACAGACTGAACATGAAAATCACAGAAAGGGCAGGCGAAAGTGCCCTGCTCGAGTGGCACCGATATTCTAGAATCTGCACAAGCGTTTCTTTTCTTTTAACCCCTTCACTCATGTCTTCTTCCTTTCTCAACGATCCTGCCAGCCCTCTTTTGCAGAGAGAGCATCCTAAGTGCCAAGAGGGAAAAACAAAAGTAAAAACCTGCCTGAGGGCCCGGAGCAAGAAGCTGGCTCTGAGTATCACTGGCACTCTGGCCCTTCCTCGCTCTCAGAAGGACGGTCTGAAAAGAAAACGCTGGAACAAACAGTGGGTGAGGAGAGGCAGGGCACCACACCCCCAGGAAATAACCCTGGTCTTTTCCTATTTTCCTCCATCTCCTGGAAAGTTACTGCCTGCTAACACTGGAAGTTACTGTGTTCTCCTGGCAGCAGCAGAAGAGTCATCACCCTCCAGAGGGGCCCTCCCTCCTCAACAACTGTTTCTCAGGGTCCCTGGCTCAGAGTCCACCCTGCAGCCCGGAGTCTGAGTGGAGGCGATGAGTACAAGCTGTCAGGGCACCGAGGAACACGTTTAACTGTTTGAGTGCCCGTCCTTGAACTCCATAGTGGAAACAGGACTTATTTTCACAAGTGCCTCTGTCGCCCTGTGGATGGGTATTGCTAGCATGAGTGGACAGGTGTTACCATGGGTGGGTGGGGGTCACTGTGGGCCTATGCCATTGTCTGGGAAAGGTGGGCTGCTCACGTGATTATACACCACTCAGTCCATATTCCTAGGCCCCTACTCAATCACTGGGCTCACTCACTCAGTGCCACGTCACGTCTGCCTCCTAGCAACTCCCTAGGACAGGGTGAACTGCCCCGTGGGTCTCTGAAACGGTCACGCTTTCCAGGAGTAGAAAGCCTCGCCTTTCTCTCAGACCAGCTGGTGGTTTCGAACTGCTGACCTTGCAGTTAAAGCACTGCCCAAGGAGTAACCCTCTATTTCCTGAGACCCCCTCCTAGTCACCCTCAATGTGTAAATCAGACAAGAAAAAAGTTCAGGCAGTTCTGCCCTTCCAGGAGAGAGTACCTGGGATTTTGTTCCCAACAAGAATGGGTTTATTTTTTTCTCTCCTTTTAAAAACAAAAGCAGACGCCTAGCTACCAGGAAAAGTTCATATCCCGTGTACTGGGCAGCTACACTGGGGGCAGACATGGCTTATTGCAGGAAGGAAGTGCAGAGGCTTCTTACTCTTGACTGCCAACAAAAGAGCAAAGATCTCTGTTTGCCTTGACTCCCATTTTCAAGTTCAAGGCACCAGTTTCCATGGGCCAAAAAAAAAAAGGCAACAAGCCTCCTATCTTAAAGCTACAGAGGTTTGTAGAAGGCCCTTGCTTCAAGCTGCTGCCCAGCCCAGAAACATCCCTGGAACAAGCCTTACCAAAGAGCCATCCCTCTAATCCACTGGCCTAATTAACTGCTCTGCTAGTGCTTAGTCATGAAGTTGCACATCCCCGTCAAATTCGCCTGAAAGAGTTAGATGGGGTAATGGAAGCCTTGGAAGGCTCCTGGGCAGGGCTTCCCCCTGCCTAGAGCTGGAGGAAACCTTATGTAACAGGATAGTCCATTTGAATATGCTATTTCTGCAACCCCAGAGTAGGAAGGGGGGTGGGGGTGGAATGTATGCATTGGAAATACAATGGGTATCAGGAGGGTGTACTCAGGACGCTTTTATCTCCTGGAATTTCAGTAGGTCAGATCCCTTCTGATTCCACCCAATCGTCACCAGGAAGGCGGCTAGCTTGACTCCTTGGGCACCCTGAAGGATGGGGTTTAGAAATAAAAGCACAGGGGCAGAAGTTGGGTTTTTGCCCACCTCCGGAGAGCTATGGACTGCCAACCTTTCGGCTTGTAGTTAAGTGCTTAACCATTGTGCTAGCAGAGCTCCTCAAGCTATGGAAAAGATAGAATTCCGGGAACTAACCAGACAGTAGAAGCTGTTGTTGCTTTTCAACATCTCAGCAGCACCAGCAGCGGCAGCGGACAGGTGAAGTCCGGTCCGCCAAGCAAAAACGCCCAGGTCGGACCGAAGGGTCCTGCGTGTGTGAGCCCGCACGCGCGGGCTGCAGCCGCCACCAAGGCGGGCCGAGCGGCCTGTGCCCCTGGACTCGCGCGGGGACCTGCTCCGTTGGCAGCTGGCGGAAGGCGCATTGGGTTCCCGTCACGGCGGGATCTCCCTCTGAGAGTCAATCTCCTACCGCGGCCGCTATGCTCAGCTAGAGTGATTTGAAGACACATCCCTGGGACTCACCCCCCCCTCCCCCCCAACAGCATCCTGGCACAATCTGTAGGTAAAAAATACCTTCGGATCAGAGTGGGGAAGAACACAGGGAGAGAGTGGGGAAGGACGGAGGGAGAGACTGGCGCCAGACCAGAGGGAGAGAGAGGGCTGGTCCTGCAAAGTGGGGAAAGGCCGCCAAAGATCAGATCCCCACCAGAAAGAGGAGGGTGCAGGTGTCTGCGCGCAGGAAGGGGGTGCCGTGGAGTCCAGAGCGAGCCTCTCTCGCGCCCCCCAAGCCGGCTCTTGCTCCAGTTGAGGCTCCATCCACGCCTGGCCTGCAGTTCCCCCGCCAGGGCTTTGGGAGCGGGCGCCGGTTCTCCTGGCAGGCGTTGGCGCCGCCGCGTTTCCGGGGAGCGCACCTGGAGACGGCGGGCTCGGTTCGCCCCGACCTCCCTTTGCCCTGAGCAGCGGTGTGCAAGCTCCCACCGCCGGTTCCCGCCCGGCCTCCCCACTCCAACCCCCACCGCCCACGGGGCCCGAAATAGCAGCAGAGAAGGTAAAAATAAGTCGAAAGTAACAGGAACAACCCAGAGCTGCGTATAATTCTCTAATTGGCATTTGGAGCAAGAGGCACTTCGAGTCTGCGCTGTAGCCCCATCTCTCCGCCGGAGCACCTCCGCCCCTTGGGAGAGGTCCGGACTCTTCCCCACTCCCGCCATATGCCGGGGCCAACAAGACCCATCGCTTTCGCCCCGGACGCACCATCGTCCTGGTGACTTTGGCCCTTCGCGTGCCTGGCACACTTGCCGACCCCGGTGGGACCCGGCTCAGCTAAGCTCTGCGCTCCCGGAGCTGCCCGCACGCGGCTGGGGAGGAGCGGCGGACGCGCGGCGAACGGGTAGAGCGAACCTTTCGGACCGTGTGGAGCTCAGAATCCGACCCCCGAAGTGTGAGGCACGCGGGTCCCTGTTCCTGGGACTTGCAGAGCGCAGGGACCGGGACGCAAGGTGGGGAAGACGCGGCAGCCTCGGGCGACTCCTTCCTCGGGGTCCCGGCGTCCGCTCCACCTGCTGGGTCCCGGTTTCCAGGCAGCTCCGGGCAGAGCCCGTGCGGCGCTCTCCACTCACCTGAGCGGCTCCGCGGTCCAGCCCGTCGGGCGCCGGGGTTGGACTCCGGGACTGGGCCATGGACAGGCCCCGGCGAGCCCCGGCGGCGGGAGGAGCGAGGTGCGGGGCGCGCGGACGGCGAAGGGTGCAGGCGCCCTGTGAGACGCGCGGCACTGGCAGTGGCAGTGGCAGTGGCTCTGGGCTGCCCGCGCGCCGGGACCAGGAGGGCTGACGAATCGGCGCTCAGGCGGCGGAGGGGAGGAGCAGAGGGAGGAGCGGGAGCTAGAGGCGGGGTCGGAGGAGGCCGGGCCCGGAGGGAGCGCGCAGTGGGCAGAGGAGGAGCGCGAGCGCCCACTGCTGTCGGGCCGCGTGGAGGCCGGCCCGCGGGGCGCCTGGCCAGTTCTCTGCCATCCGCGCGGCACTCGGGCGCCCGGCACCAGCAGGCGGACCCAGCGCGCGTGGACACCGCCCACCTGGCACAGGGACTCTTCCGGTGTCAGCCCAGGACGAGGGGACTGGCCCGGCCCGGTGGCTGGGGCAGGTAGTAGGCTGGGCGACTTTTCTCTTCCAACCCGGGGCCGCCCTGCCTGCTCCTTCGCTCCGTTGGGGCGCAGCCTGTCCGAGCCCAGGTATCCGCCTCTCCCAGCTCGGCCAGGTTCCCAGCACCTGTGCTCCCTCCCACGTCCATCCGGACCGCGTGCACTCTTTCCGGCAGGTGACCCACCTTAGTCTCTAGCTTTCCAGCGACCCAAGGAACGCCAAGGGAGCCCTCCTCCCCAGACCCCGCCCCATCCCGGCCCGGAGCAGGGAGCTGAGCGGGCAGGTGCCCTGGGTCGCGTTGAACTCGCCCGGTCCGTCAGGCCGAATGCCAGGTGTGGAGGCGGATTTACCTGGAGGCTGCGAAGAATTCATTCCAGAGGAGCTTGAACTCAGGGACTGCAAATGTCAGTTGGGACATTTACCAGAAACTCTCTGCCCCGCCTCCCCCGGCCAGAAGGCTGGAGGTTTTGTGACACTCGTAGCTAAGCAGCAAGACAGAGTAAAAGGCTCCACGGGGTTTCTGAGGCTATAAATCTCCCAGGAGCTGACTGCCACCTCTTCCTCCCGGGAAGCCTCAGGGAGATTCCAACCCGGGATTTTAAGAGTGAACAGTTAGTTCTAGGGATGGATTGGGGTTGGAACCTCCTTGATGCAGCTAGGCTGCCAGTTTACCTGGGCCAAACAATTGATCTCCAAAGCATTTCAGCAAGTGGATCCAGCTCCCTACCCACCCAACCCCACCAAAAAATCCATATGCATATTTAAAAAACTCCCTTGAGATGATATTTAATCCATCGTCAGCAATTTATATATTTGGAAGATTTCAAACCACATTTCCATAGAAGAAATCTTCGACTAGCTTCTTTTTCATTTAGAGTACTCCCCCACCCCCATACCAGGGGGAAGGGTGCTGTTGTGGCACAACCGATTAAGCATTTTTGCAGACCTCCAGGTTGATGGTTCAAACCTACCAACTACTCAGCAGGAAGACGGATGAGGCTGGGATTTCCTTTTGTAAAGCTTTACAGTCTCATCTCAGAGACACACACACACACATAAAAATTTAAAAGCCACTTTAAAGCTCTTACTTTGCAAAGCCTTAGCACTTAAATTTGAATTTGCTTTCAAATAAATGACCCCTTCCCCTTTCTCTGAAGCTTTATAAAGTGTTCCATGAGGTTGCTGGGGTCCAAATGGAAGTCTAAGATAAAGGTCTGCCAATTACTGGTGTCCTTAAACTCCTACCAGCAGTACAGAATACAAACCCTTCAAAACAGAAACCATCTTTGATACTCCAAATCGCTATGATTCCTTTTTCTCCCCCAGAGTGCAGAGTACGTTGGTGTCTCAAATTCACAACTCATTAGGGAGATGGACTGCATGGGGAGATGGGCATTAGGTAATGATTTCATTTTCTCCCCAGACCGGAGAGTCAAAGGCAGGTGACTTCACCCACTTAGGGCCTTCCTACAGGAGCTTCAGAGAAGCCATAACCCCAGACCACAGTCCTGTGACTCTGTGAGAAGCTTCAGGTACAGGAAATGATTCCCTGAGAGATTTTGCAAAAGAGAACCAAACAAGAATCCAAACAAGGCCTGGGATTGTAGCACCATCATTCTTTAATTTTACAATGCATTGATCAATGTTCCTGTGCTCAAGACGAAGGAACGCGTTCTTATTGAGTTGCACATCTCTGCCCAGCCATTCTTACTGTCTCCTAGAAAGCCTTCTTAGACATCTTCTGCACCTCACTTTGGTTTCCCATCCCTGTGTTGCCTGCTGTGAGTTGGCCCTTAACTTAGGAAGACATCATCCACTTCAGAACAAAATGCTGCCCAGTGTTGTGCCACTCACATGATCATTTGTGAACAGGGAGCTCCCTTTGCCACTAGAATAGAGATAGCTTGATATTGAACACTACACCTTCATGAGTTCCCTCCAGAATACAGTGCAACTCTCAAACCAAACTCACTATTATTGAGTCAATTGCCACTCAGCGCAACCTTATAGGACACAGTAGAATTGTCCCTGTGGGTTTCCAAGACTGTAGCTCTTTACAGGAGTAGAAAGCCGCATATACAGTGAACCCTCGTTTATCGCGGTTAATCGGTTCTAGACCCTACCGTGATAAATGAAATTCCACGAAGTAGGATTCCTTATTTGTAAATCAAATATTTTTGTAGTTAGAACATAGAGGACATGAAAAAAACACCCTTTAGTCACCATTACACTCGTATTACCCAATTTATTAAATGAAAAAGGGAAAATACAGTAAAACATTTTGGACGTTACAATTATCATTTATCATTTATTATATTATTTATGGCATCTAGTTTACAGTATTACATATTTCACATACAGTATTATTATACATTTTCTTAAAAATCACAAACAATTACAGTACACTGTACAAAAGCAAAACTGCATCTGATACGTAGCTCCGATACGTAGCGATGCAGACAGAAGCGTGTACAGTATGAGCCAACCAGTGGCAGTAATGACAGAGCATGCGCTGTTACGCAAAAACCGAGATAGAGTGAAGCCGCGGAAGTCGAAGCATGAAGTGGCGAGGGTTCACTGTATCTCTAGAAGCAAGTGGTGGGTTCAAATTGCTGACCTTGCAGTTAGCAGCCGAACATATAACCAACTATGCCACAGGCCTCCTTTAGAATATCCTAGAGTGTCTGTAATATACTCTGCTCAAACCAACAATAACTGTGCAAGAATTCCCCCAAAGAAGTTACTGTATTATCCCAAATAAATATCTGTGCCCTAGATCAGCAGAGCCAATGAACTCAGTCCAAGTTAGTGAGACACAGAGTTTTATCACAAGGTGACAGCAGCAGGAAGTCCTACAGCAACACGGGCTGTGTTAACAGATTCCCACTTGTTATCAGAACACATAGAGTTCAAATGCTTTCACATTTGAATGCCCCCTTTGGGGTGAGTCACATAATTTTCCAGGTACTTTCCATCACTCACGTCACAAGATAATCAGAAGATGTAAATATGTACCGTGACAATGACATAAAACAATACCAGTAGCATTTGTGATGCACAGGTCACCTCCTTGAATTTCTTAAAGTCCCTCCAGAGAGAGTTGGCCAGGTAGCCCCAGAGGGGTCTCGACCCATAGGTTGAGAACCGCTGCCTAAGAGCATGGGCAACAACAACTGTAATGACCCCAGCTGAGGCCTTCTGTGCCTTGTTCATCTGCAGGCAACGGATTACATGTGTCTCTTTCTTAGGCCATCAGACATCCTCAGAAACTATGGTTTGTCCATTTTACAGCTAAGGAAGTGTGGCCCACAGAAGTCAAGCATTTCTTGGGTGTTAGTGGTAGGGATGCTATTTAAGCCAGAATCTTTCCTGACTCCCAGAGCCTAGTGGTTACAATTTGGGCTGCTAACCCCCTGCTCCTCCGGAGAAAGATGAGGTTTCTGCTCATAAACAGTTAGTCTTTGAAACCCACAGGGGTGGCTCTACTGTGTCTTCTGGGGTCACTAGGAGTTGGAATTGACTCAAAGGCCGTGAGTCTGGTTTGCGAGAAGTGGTTACTCTTCACTTAGAGATGAGGAGCCCGCACTTCCTCATTTTGTAGTAAAGGGAACAAAGACACAGACAAGTAAAGATATGAGATAAGTACCCGAAACCCAACCTGCTCCCATGGAGTCAGGTCCCACTCCTAGCACGTATGCACTTACTGCAGCACCGGAGAGGGAAGGACATATCCCAAGTCACTTCCTGCCCTCCAGCAAAGACTAGACTCCTCATTTAGTATTCTCGATAACGGAATGCTATGTTTATGTGTTGCTTGTGTTTTGTTTTTACAAAGGATACATGGGAGGTAGGAATCCTGGTAGCCTAGTAAGTAACATGTTGGGCTGGGAACTGAACCATAAGGTCAGAAGTTCGAAAGCACCAGCTGCTCCTTGGGAGAAAGATAAGGCTTTTACTCCTATAAAGGGTTAAAGTCTCTGAAAAGCCTAGGGACAGTTCTACCCTGTCCTGTCTGTGAGTCAGAAAGGACTCGATAGCAGGTGGTTCTGAGAGTGAATCGTGTGACTGGAAGAAGTGGTTAGGAGATGAGGCAGTAGTGAGAGAGAAGCTGCCTCTTCTGAAGTGAATCAAAATCCAAGCTCTTGCAACCTGTCAGGATATGACGTGATGTTATCTGGACCCCATATCAGTTGGACTGCCCTCTAAAGCTTCTCCTCCCATAATGGCCGTTTGAGTCTTTCAGGTTAATAGCGTGAATACTAAGGAGTCCAATGGGATTCTTTATCAGCAGAGGAAATTGGGAGCAGGTTAAAAATCCAATTTTAATAAACTTTCCAGGCCCTGATTTAGATGGTGGTAGCACTAATGGCTCTTACTGCTGAATCGCCTTAAAAGCCACATGTATTTTTTAAATGGTCTTCTTGTTCGAGGAACGTGATGGGTACTGTCAACGGGTGCATTGTGCATCCCCCTGAAACCCACGAGAAACACCACTCCTTCTCGTGAGGGCTGGGCCCAGAGGAAGGGGAGATAATTTTCCATCATTGGACCCAAACAA